CTGATGGCGTAGCGATATGACTGAATCCACCTGCACCTGCAGTCGGTGCTTGCTTCTGTGGGCTTGCGCAGCTTTGCTGAGGACTCTGGGCTAGAGTCCCAAGTTAAGACGTCTTAAAAACTCACGCCCCGCGGCTGTTTGGCATACAACGCGCTGCCATCTTTCCAATCTCATGGAAGACGTGCATCTCACACTGGAAGAAAAAACAGATCCCCAGCCCAGCGTGGAACCTCGGATGATGGTTGAATTGAATCTTACCCCTGCTGCATGGACCTGACTACCTAAGATGGCTCTCGTATAAGTGCTATTTATGTGGATGAGGTTGAAACACTCTGTTTCACTCCAGCCAACTCTCTTCTCATGGGTGGCGAAGCGTCGGTATACAGTACACTTGCAGCCAGAGACGTCAAGCGTCCGACGACGACGAGGACGATGACGAAGACGATGATGATGACGACACTGAGGTTTTATGATCCTGATGCGGATGGTAGTGCTGCTGCTGCTGATGATGTTGATGATGATGATGATGATAATGCTGATGCTGCTAATGGCAATGACGATAACGGTTGTAATTCTGATGGTGATGACGATGTTGACAGTTATGATGATGTTGCTGATGATGATGAGGATGACGATGATGATGTTGATGATACTGATACTGATACTGATGATGATGATGATGATGATGATGATGATGATGATGATGATGATGATGATGATGATGATGATGATGATGATGTTGGTGCTGGTGCTGATGATGAGGATGAGCATCATGATGAGGAGGATGAAGATGAGGATGAGGGTGACGATGATGGTAATGGGGATGGTGACGTTGATGACGATTGTGATGGCGATGATGATGATGATGATGGTGATGTTGCTGATGCAACTGCTGGTGATGATGCTGATGCTGCTGATGATGATGCTGCGTGTACTCATAATGTCGGTGTTGCCATGATGTGATATACAATGATTTGATATGGCAATGTCTGATATTATTTTGTATGATCTGGTAGGAGACGGGGTGATATGTGCAATGCTGTGCTATGCAGGGGGCATGCTGATATTTTGCTTATGAATATACTGATGCGGAGGTGGAGCTAGATGATGTAGAGGGCGATAATGAACAAGACGGAAAAGATGACGAGCAGTGCGATTGAGGGAACCAGGGGCGAGGAAGGGGAGGAAGAGAACGAGGAGGAGGAGGAGGAGGAGGAGGAGGAGGAGGAGGAGGAGGAGGAGGAGGAGGAGGAGGAGGAGTAGGAGGATGGGGAGGAGGAGGAGGAGGAGGAGAGGAGGAGGAGGGGGAGGAGGAGGAGAGGAGGGGCAGGATCAGGAAGATGATGATGGGGAGAAGGAGGAGGGATACGAGGGTGAAAAGGAGGAGGTGGAATCATATGACGATGCTGCTGCTCATGACGCTGCTGATGATGCTGCTGATGATGATGCTGCTGATGATGCTGCTGATGATGATGCTGATGATGATGATGACGATGATGATACTGCTGCTGCTCCTGATGATGATGATGATGATGATGATGATGATGATGAGGAGGAGGAGGAGGAGGAGGAGGAGGAGGAGGACGACGACGAGGAGGAAGGAGATAGTCACGGTGCGATGCTGCGGGCCCTCTTTGCCTCCTTCGGCGCGCGCGCGCTGCGCTTCCTGCCCCTGGCGGACCGACCCCGGAGCGGGGCCGCGTGCGACCGCCCACCACCGCCGGCCCTCCGCGGGGTCGGCGGCCAGAGTGCCGCGGAGAGCAGCCCAGCACATCGAGAGCAGAGCGTTCGCGCCGACGCCGACGACGCCGACGACGCCGACGCCGACGACGACGGCGACGACGCCGACGCCGACGACGACGCCGACGCCGACGCAGACGCCGACGCCGACGCCGACGCCGCCTTGGCCCTCACCCCTTCCAGTCGGCGAGTCTGCGCCCCTGCGGCGCCGCACCCGGCCGCAGAGGCTGCCCGGCAGCAGGCCCGGGCGCAGACCTGCCGCAGGCGCGGAGCGGCGGCTGCGCGGCCGGGCCGGGCGCCGAGCAGGCCTGCCGCGGGCCGCGGGAGAGCGGCGGAGGGCCGGGCACTCTCGGGGGGAGGGGGGAGGAGGAGGAGGCGGAAGAGGAGGAGGAGGAGGAGGAGGAGGAGGAGGAGGAGGAGCTGGCACACAAATCTAATGTTGTTGTCGCCGTCTTACCCCATGCTTTGCGTTTGTTGATCGCTCCGATGCGCCCCACTGCTTGCGAAGGCATCGACACCGTGGAGACCTGGCGGTGCCGTGACCACTGGGGCTTTGAACCATCTGCGTAGGCTGACCCCTTAGGCTGTGAATCGTGAAGTCCCTCTGATTTGGGTGAATTGTTTCGTTTTTTCCCCAACCATCCTGTGGTGTTGGGTCCTCGTTTTGAACAGACGGTCCTCGCGTCTCCTCCTTCCTTCCTTCCTTCCTTCCTTCCTTCCTTCCTTCCTTCCTTCCTTCCTTCCCCCTCCCTCCTCCCCCTCCTCCCTCCACCCTGCGTTTCACCCACCCAGTACAGCGTTTCGTAGCCCCATAGGGAGCTCCACCGGAGGCCCCAGTGCCACCGCCCGCATGCGTCACCCACACCCACGTCGGCACACCCCTCGCACGTTTCGTGGCCCATAGGGAGCTCCACTGAAGGCCACAGTGCCACCGCCCGCATGCGTCACCCACACCCATGTCGGCACACAACTCACACGTTTCGTGGCCCCATAGGGAGCTCCGCTGAAGGCCCCGGTGCCACCGCCCGCGTGCGTCACCCACACCCATGTCGGCACACCACTCACACGTTTCGTAGCCCCATAGGGAGCTCCACCGAAGGCCACAGTGCCACCGCCCGCATACGTCACCCACACCAATTTCGGCACACTCCTCACACGTTTCGTGCCCTCATAGGAAGTTCCACCGGAGGCCACAACGCCACCGCCCGCATGCGTCACCCACACCCATGTCGACACACACCTCACACGTTTCGTGGCCCCATAGGGAACGCCACCGAAGGCCGCAGTGCCACCGCCTTCATACGTCACACACAACCATTTCGCCACATTGCTCACACGTTTCGTGGCCCCATGGGGGGCTTCACCGGAGGCCCTAGTGCCACCTCCCGCATGCATCACCCACACCCATTTCGGCCCACCCCTCACACGCTTCGTGGCCCCATAGGGAGCTCCACCGAAGGCTACAGTGCCACCGCCCGCATGCGTCACCCCCATTTTGGCACACCCCTCACGCGTTTCTGGCCCAATGGGGAGCTCCACTGAAAGCGCCAGTGCCACCGCCCGCATCCTTCATGCGCACCCATTTCGTCGCACACTCCTCACACGTGTCGTGGCCCCATAGGGAGCTCCAACGAAGGCGCCAGTGCCACCGACCGCATGCAACACCCACATTCATGTCGTCACACCCCTCACACGCTTCATGGCCCCATAGGGAGCTCCACCGAAGGCACTAGTGCCACCGCCCGCATACGTCAGCCACACCCGTGTCGGCACACTCCTCACACGTTTTGTGCCCTCATAGGGAGCTCCACCGGAGGCCACAGCGCCACCGCCCGCATGCGTCACCCACACCCATGTCGGCACACCACTCACACCACACGTTTCGTGGCCCCATACGTAGGGAGCTCCACCGAAGGCCCCAGAGCCACCGCCCGCATGCGTCACACACACACACACACCCATGTCGACACACCCCTCACACGTTTCGTGGCCCCATGGGGAGTTCCACCGAAGGCCACAGAGCCACCGCCCGCATGCGTTATCCACGCCCATTCCAGCACAACCCGCACGCCTGTCGTGGCCCCATAGGGGGCTTCACCGAAGGCCCCAGTGCCACCTCCCGCATGCATCACCCACACCACTTTCGTCACACCCCTCACACGTTTCGTGGCCCCATGGGGAGCTCCAACGAAGGCCTCGGTGCCACCGCCCGCATGCGTCACCCATGCACATTCGGGCACACCCCTCACACGTTTCGTGGCCCCATAGGGAGCTCCAACAAAGGCGCCAGTGGCTGCGTTCGCATGCGCCCACCGCACCCATTTCGGCACACCCCGCACGCGTTTCGTGGCCCCACAGAGAATTCCACCGACGGCCCAAGTGGCTGCTCCCGCATGCGCCCACCGGACAATTTTCGGCACACCCCTCACACGTTTCGTAGCCTTATAGGGAGCTCCTCCGAATGCGGTGCGTACAACGACGGTACTAGCAACTGCATATGGTTGGGTCCTTCGCCAGGCTTATTATTTCCGGAGCTGCAGGCGTATTTGCCGAGACTTGTGCGCTCCAGGCGTCGACATTTGAACTTGTACAACACTTCGTATCATTCACTGCGGTCAGTGTCGTTGTCGTCACTTTAGCGGACGTATGATATTTATGAGCTCGGCTCGACCTTTGCTGGGCGCGTGTTTCTGTTTGCTCCGCCATCGTGAAGATAGAATTGCATCGACCCTTTTCGTTCATTGTGATGGTGCTGTATGTTTCCTTGTTTATCATTCGCACGCTAAACACGAACATGTGAAACTCATGATGTTTGCTTCGCATGCGAGCATGGCGGTGTTCGTGCTGGCAGTTCAGCACTTCAAGTTGCAGGCTTTCTCTGTGTGGTATTGGCCGCATGTGTACACACCCGAGTGGCGGCATGTCGCGCTGTTTGGGTGGTGCTAGCTAGTAGTTGCGACAGCCGAGGGAGATGGGTATTGTGAGTTCTCGTGGGCGGCGCCGCACGTGCCGTCGTCGAGCCAGGGCTGTGTGATGTTGACGATGACGGGGGTGTGACGCTGGCTCGCCTTTCAGCATTCCGCCCCTCTCCTCGTCGGCGCAGCTGCCGGGAAGCATCCGGAGGCTGGGAGACCGCCGAGAACCGACGAACACTTTGCACGTTGCGCCTTCGCCGCCGCCGTCGCCGTCGACCCTCAGACTCCGTCTGACTCCGCGTTCCCAGGCCTCGGCGCCGGAGGGCGCGCCGCGCTTTCCTCGAGGACCCCGGGGAGAGCGCCAGGAGTTCGTCGTCGGCATGCTGCGGCACGCGTGGAGCGGGGGCTACGCCCAGCACTGCTGGGGCAAGGCCTGCCCGGGGGGAGGGAGGCAGCAGTGGAAGGGAAGGCGGGCTCAGTCGAGCTTGATTCGTAGAACCCCGCCGCCGCTTCTTCTTCCTCCTTCTCCTACTCCTTCTCTCCCCTGCAGTCGTCAGCGTTTGCAGCAGTAGCAGCAGTAGCAGCAGAAGCAGCAGCTGTAGCGATGATAGTGAATGTAATGATACGCGAATTCGGCCGCCAGGTTTTCGAAGTCGTTCCCCCCTCGGTTTAAGTGTCGAGGTCGAGGAGTCGCCAGGGCGGTGATCTGATCGGCCATCGGATGAACTCTTCTGGGTACGCTCCGCCTTCCCTTCCCTGCAATCTTCCTCCAGCACACGTGTGCACATGTGTGTCGAATCCAAGAGTGCGGACGACCTGACTCGCTGTGGCATCGCCCCTAGCACGCTGCATTTCCGTTCCGTCCGCCCATCCATGTCACGCTTCCCCTAATAGGACGAGCTGCACCCCCTGTCCAACACTTGCGATAACGGCTGGCGCCTCGGCCTCACTCTCATCGACAGCTTGGACACGCTCTACTTGTTCGGCATGGATGCGGAGTTTCAGGTACGGGCGGCGCTCTTTTTCACGTGTTTCGGTCTCGCCGCGCGATCATATGGTTGAGCAGACAACGGAGGCCTCGGCGTCCTGGGGTTCATCCAACATGGTGGGAGCAGCAGGGAGCGCGAGCTGGGTAAGAAGAGTGGTCTGCAGGATGGACACGTGCACCGCAGCCGCAGCGTGCGGAATTCGGTACGGCAGGGGGGAACAACTCGTGGGCACTCCTTCGCTCCCCCAAACTCAAAGTTGGCACGCGCGGGGCAGGTTGCGGTCGAAGTGGAACTCGTCAGACCCATCGCCAACTTTGAACAATTGGGGGAGGGGCAGGCGTTGACCGAGGCATGCGTGTTCGCTTTTTTTTCCGAGGTCTGCATCGTTGTCCCTTGGTGGCTGCTTCTCCACAGACGGCGCTCCAGTCGTGCTCGCCTTCTCTGACGCGCCTCTCTCGCCCTGGACCTGTTCTGTGTAGACCTGGCAGGACCGGTGCAGCCTGCGCGTTGTGCTCGTTGATTGCGTTCAGTACCACTGAGCCCGTGCGGCAGTAGCCGCGGCGGGCTTTCAGGGGAATCTTGCACGCAAGCAGCCAAATCAGGGAGTGATCGGAGATGTGTACGGCCGCGACACTGGGCCTCGACATCGCCCGTCTTGTGATCTGCTCGGGGCCGTCTTGGCGCCCTCTTGAAGCCCTCTTGGGCTCTCTTGGGGCCCTCTCGGGGATTCGTTGGGCTGCCTCGGCATACCCTGGAGGTTCTTCGAGTTCTTCGCGCTGTTTCGGGGGCTCTTCGAGTCGTCTCGGATGGTCTCGGAAGCATCTTTCGCTGGTCTTGGCCTTTGGGAGACGTCATCGGGCGTAGACGTCCCCGGGCCGCCTTGGAGGCGGGCTGAGATCATCTTTCAGGACGATTGCAATGAGCACGGAAAGACTGGGTACAAAGACCGACAGCATGTCTTGTTCATTTTGAACGGAGCCCGCCGTCGGTGTCGACACGGACGCTGTCCTTGTGAGGCAGAAGGCTGCCTACCCAACAGGGGCCGCTGTCGGTTTCGGACAACAGTTGTTGTTGGGCATCGTGCCCAGTGCCTCCTTGTCCATTTCGGGCGCCCACGATCTTGGGCCATCCGGGCGGCACGACGCCCTCCTGGCGGCGCCCCGTCCCCTGCCCTTGCCTTCCCGAGCGCCGCCGACTTCGCACGTGCGCTCCCTCGCGAACGCATGTCGCCGCGCCGCTTGTTCTGACGCGCGGCCCTGCGTCTTGTGTGATGGGCCGCTTGTCCACCACCTCTGCCACATGGAGGAGAGGGAGCAGGAGGAGGAGGAGGAGGAGGAGGAGGAGGAGGAGGAGGAGGAGGAGGAAGCAGACCAGGAGGAAGAAGAGCGGGAGGAGGACGAGGACAAGGAGGAGCGGGAGGAGGAGGAGGAGGAGGAGGAGGAGGAGGAGGAGGAGGAGGAGAAGGAGGAGGAGGGAGGAGGAGGAGGAGGAGGAGGAGGAGAGGAGGAGGAGGAGGAGGAGGAGGAGCAGATGAGAGGAGGAGGAGGAGGAGGAGGAGGAGGAGGAGGAGGTCCTCCCCATCCTCCCTTCTCCCCCGTCCTTCCTATGGTAGCGGTGGTGGAACACTGACCCACCACTGGGGAGGAAGCCGCGGTCACCAGTGCACACGCGCCGCCTATCGGGCGCGGTGGGTTCGCCGTGGGCTTGCCGCGGTGGCGGCTGCGTCTCCTTGGGGCGCGGAGCGCAGGGCTTGCCGTGGGCTTGCCGTGGTGTCGGCGTCGTCCACTTGGGCGCATCGAGCACAAACGGCTCGGCGACACATGCAATCGGCACGCCAGAGTACACATTGCTCATTTCTAATTATTCGAGGGTTCTTTGATTTTTTTGGGGGCCAGGATCCTTTCATTTCTAATTGTTCTATCCTGGGCCTCTTCCTGGCCACTAGGGGGCCAGGAACAATTAGAAACGAACACAATTAGAAATGAGCACGATTAGAAATGAACGACGTGTATATAAGCATCACTGAGCTCAGGGGCTCTGGTTTTCGGGCCGTTCCTTAGAGCCAGGCTGGGGCCACGACGGCCCGCTCGTTTCTTGTTCGGCGTTCCTGAGCACGATGGCCGTTGTCCTTTCACAGGCGCAGTGCTCATGCCTCTCCGAGTACTTGCTGAGGGCCACGCCTCAGCGGCTCAGGCGCTCGAACTACTGGGCTTGTGCACTTCAGGGAGGGCGCGTCAGCTCCTCGTTAAGGCTACTTGTCCGGCTCCGCCCCGCCCGTCTTTCTCCTCCTTCTTTCGCGCGACCCCCCCCCACCGCCCGATACCCCTGCCCCCGTCCGTTGCGTCGCAGCTGGCTGCATTCGGTCGGTCAGGACATGTCGGCTGTTGCGTCGCTGCGTCCTTCCTGGGTCTGCTTTCGGTCTGGCAGCGTCGGCCGGTTCCCCTTCCGGATTCGCAGCGTGTTCGATCGGTTCTCGGTCCCGTTTTCGCCGTGGGCGTCCGCGCGGGGGTGGGGGTGGGTGGGTGCTCAGAGCATGAGGTGCAGGGGGGGAGGTCTCCAGAGGAGCCCCGCTGTAAGACCCGGATCCTGGAGCCTCGATCGTCCTCCCTGCTGCTCCTCGATCCGCCCTTGGATCTTTCAGGATCCCTTCTTTCGCCGAGGACGAGGGGGGGAGGGCGGGAGGACGATAGGCGGGGGCGACGGGACCACTCAGGGCGCAGCGGGGTCCCGTGCTCCCCATTTTCTCGCCCGCCGGGCGCTGGGAGAAGTTATTTACAAGGAATGGAGGAGGATAATGACAGACATGGTACTTGTAACATCACTGTAGTACTAACAGGATGATCGTAGCGACATTCTGTCATAGTAGACATGATCGTAGTGACAGTGTCATGTCAAACATAATTGTTACAATGGGACGGATCTGCCAAAACAGCAACGATGTTAACGATGAGACGGCCATCCGCATTTTTCTTCAAAACCTGGCATCACGAAGCTGGGAGGCGTTTTCCGCGGCCCCTGACTATTCGCCGTGTTTTTTCGCAACCATCCTGTGGTGTTGGGTCCTCGTTTTGAAGAGACGGCGCCCCGCGTTCTCCTCCTCCTCCTCCCGCCTCCTTCCTCCTCCCCCTCCTCCCTCCTTCCCCTCCTGCATCCTCCCTGTGTTTCACCCACCCAGTACAACGCTTCGTGGCCCCATAGCCATTGCGTCACCCACACCGCAGGCTCCAGTGCCACCGCCCGCATGCGTCACCCACACCCATTTCGGCACTCTCCTCACGCGTGTCGTGGCCCCATAGGGAGCTCCTCACCGAAGGCCCCAGTGTCACCGCCCGCATGCGTCACCCACACATATTTCGGCACATCCCTCACACGTTTCGCGGCCCCACAGGGAGCTCCACTGAAGGCCCCAGTGCCACCGCCTGCATGCGTCACCTACACACATTTCGGCACACCCCTCACGCGTTTCGTGGCCCCATAGGGAGCTTCACCGAAGGCCCCAGTGGCACAGTTCGCATGCGCCCACCGCACCAATTTCGGCACACCCACTACAGGTTTCGCGGCCCCACAGGGAGCTCCACCGACAGCCCCAGTGGCTGCGTTCGCATGCGCCCACCGCACCTATTTCAGCACAGCTCTCGCGCGTTTCGTGGCCCCATCGGGAATTCCACTTACGCCTGCAGTGGCTGTTTTCGCAAGCGCCCACCGGACAAATTTTGGCACATCCCTCACACGTTTCGTGGCCCTACAGGGAGCTCCTCCGAATGCGGTGCGTACAACGACGGTGCTCACAGCTGCACATGGTTGGGTCCTTTGCCAGGCTAATCTTATAGGGACGGGGGGGTCTGGAAGCCTCGGGGGGGATCCCAGGAGGCCTCTGGAGATCCAACCGTCGGGGGATCCCTTGCTGGTCGGGGCGGGTTGTCCAGCCACGACCTGGGTATGTGTTTGTGGGGGTCGGGCTCCGACCGGTAAGGGGGGGGCCAGGATCGAAGGGGTCGAAGAAATCGCATCGTCGGGTCGCTCTGGGCCTCGACCCCTCGACTCCTCCTCGTTCCTCCTCCATGCTCCTCGATCCTCGAGCCTCTTCCCCGATGGTCGATCTGCCTCCTCGATCCTCGAGCCTCCTCCTCCTCGATCCTCCTCCTCCTCCTCCTCGATCCTCCTCCTCCTCCTCCTCCTCCTCCTCCTCCTCCTCCTCGATTATCCTTCTCCTCCTCGATCCTCCTCCTCCTCCTCGATCCCGTGCCTGCCCTGAACCTGCGGCAGGCGGCCTGCCTGGCGGCGGTCGAGCCTGCCCCTCCTCCGCGTGCCGCCGCCTGCCCAGGCGGCCAGAGACTGGGTGGCGGACCGGCGCGCCCTCGACTTCGGCCAGGTCCGCAACGTCAACCTCTTCGAGGCGCGCCCCGCTCCCTCGCGACAGGCAACCTCTCCAAGTCAGGACATGGCTGGACATAAAAACGGTCAAGACAGGTCAGGACTTCGGCCAGGTTCGAAGCGTCAACCTCTCCAAGTCAGGACTTCGGCCAGGTTCGAAACGTCAACCTCTCCAAGTCAGGACATGGCTGGACCCAAACGGTGTTTTGGGCGATGTCGTGGGCCGTTTGCGTTTCGGCTTCCTTTTTGCGGTAAATGCGGATTCGAGACGAGAGCGAGGGAAAACGAAAACAGAACGACAACGAACAAAAACAACGTTTAGGTTCAGCCCCGAGTCGGGACGCGGGCTCCCTGGGAGGTGCGAGCGCTCCGCAGCGGCGCGCTGGTGCATCCGTGGGCGACGGCCAGGCCACTGCGGCACAAGCCTGCGCAGTCCCGCCGGATCCGGAGGAGTCTGGGCGAGTCGGGTTCCATCTGGCTTCATGTCGGGCGTGTCCTCCCCCTACAGGGGGATTTTCGATGCAACATCAAAAATACGCCGAAAATGCTCCAAAAAGGTCCAAAACTACTCAAAACATAGTCCCCGGACTATGTTTGGATTATTGTTGGATGATGTTTGGATTATTTTTGGGGTGTCTTTTTTTTTCTCGTCGAGAATCCCCCTGTAGGGGGACAGGCCCGACTTAAATCTGGCTCAGTGCTGGGCCTCACCTGGCCCAGTCCGGCCCCTAATCCGAGGCCCAATCCTGCCCCCTGGCCTGCCCAATCCTGTTGAGTAAAGCCCTTTTACGAGCAGGAGCTCTTTTGGATAGCGTGCCGCTCCGCCCGTTCCGGCCCACCGCGCTTCAGCGCGACACGCTGTCCACTTCCCAGTCCCCATGCTTCAACTTTCGGAGCCTTTCCGAGCCTCCCGCCCCGCGGATCGGATCGGCACGGTGTCCGCTCGCAGGGCAGAAACATGTCTCTATCCCTATGATTGGCGTCTCCGTATCTCGGTGACGGTCTTGGGTATTCTTTGAGTTTCTGAAGCCACGTCCCTAAGATTGGGATCGCCTTGGGCTTGTCGATCTTAGGGATATGGATAAGGTCGAGGCTGGTTAATAGCGGGTCGCTGGGACCCCCGCGACGACACGCTGTGCGACAGTTCCTGACCGTAATCGTTCTAGCGAAGTCCTCCGAGTTGTTTCCGAACTCCAGGTCTGCTCTGTGTCCGCTTGTGAGCCAGCTCCTCCGGGTACAGGGTCGGTAGTCGCGGGGAGCGGGGGCCGCTCCAGCGGAGGCTCCGCTCTCCAGAGCTGGTGGCGTGGCCATGGCGCCCAGGTCGCCGCTCAGCGGAGGCCAGCGGTGGGGTCCTCCAGGCAGGCGGCGGAGGCGGCGGCGGCGGTGGTCAGACCCCTCTGCGACTGAGCTTCGAGCGGGGCCCAAGCAGAAGGGGGGATCTGTCGACGCAATTCCTGGACCTGGTGGTGCTGGTGGCGGGGCTGGTTGCACTGCCGCCCGATCCCGGGCACAGGCAAAAAGCTCCCGCGGGGACCCACTGCCCGCTGGCCCTGTGGGCCCGACCCCGCGTGACGCGCATCAGCGTTGGACCTGCCTTCCGCCTGGATTCGGAGCGCCTTGTCAGCGAGCCGGCCTTGCGGTCGGACCGGGGTATCAGATCGAAGTCGGTTCGGGGAGGGTGCCCAGGTGTTCGTCGTGTTTGTTGGATGTTCTTGTGCATCCTGGGGGAGGGCACCCTCGAGTGATGTCACGGTTGGAGGTGCTCCGGGTGGCGGAGGGTCTCATGTCCTTGAAGGATGCTCTTCTGGCATAGGTCCACCCGCACATCACATGTGCAGCGGGCTCGCCCCCGGCTCAAAACTGTGAGCACGTGCCGCTCGCTCTCTCGTTTACGGGGCAGTGGGCGCAGGCGCGCCTGCTCCAAAGATGCTGTGCAGTGGGCAAGGCAAATGCGGTCGGACCGAGGTCTCAGATCGATGTCTGTTCGGGGAGGGTACCTTAAGTCAAGCAGTGGCGAGGCCTCCCAGCTCGCCTACAGGCCTACCAAACAATGTTCTAAGAACCTTGCTTGCTTTTCACGAGATGTTCTTAGAACATTTCGAGCCTCGACTGTTTTGTTTTAGCGCATCGGGTTTCTGTTCTAAGAACATTGTTTGTGTTTTTCGAACATTTTTGGGTTCTAAAAGCATATCGTGGTAGGACTGTAGGAATGCCGTCCCTGCTCAACGAAGGTGATTCGTGCTTGTTGGATGTCATTGTGCATTCTGGGGGAGGATACGCTCAAAGGTTCTTCAGCTCGGCTAGCGGAGGTTCTCATGTTCTTGAGGGTTCCTCGGTCTGGCCGACGGAGGGTCTCATGTTGTTGAAGTCTGCTCTTCGGTCCTAGGTCCGGCCGTATAGATAACCTCCTGCCAGCAGGCGGCCCACAGCTTCCTTCTCCTCCGGTGTCCCTTGGCAGCTCAATGCTCGACGACGAACGTGCACTGAAGCTCAAAGCTCAAAGCTCAAAGCTCAAAGCTCAAAGCTCAAAGCTCAAAGCTCAAAGCTTGTAGTAGCATGATGTCTTATCGTATATCGAAGCTCCCATTCCACTGGCGCCTCGAGATGCTGGCCAGGCTAGTCTCCTTTTGACCTTCGCGCTCTCGGCGGCACCTCGTATGGCGTGCCCTGCCTGCGGTCTTCAGCCCCTCGCCAGGGAGCCGACAAGGGTGCTGGCCGGGGCGTGGGCATCATCTTGGGACACGGCCTGCAGGCAGGAAGCACAGGCACCGGCCAGGGCCTGCGGCTTCAGCAGGAGGGGGTGCTCGTGTTTTTGGGATCCCCCGTCGCTCTAGCTCCTTCAGGGCCCGCCTCGGCCTCTGGCTGCGGATGGGGTCTGGCTCCTGGCGCCCCCCGCAGGAACGGGGCGGGGGGAGGGGGGGCAGGAGTGGGGACGCCCTCACAGCAAGACAGGGGCTCAATTCGAGTCCTCCGACTCGATTCGATTCGATTTCGATCCCGATTCCGATTCCGACTCGATTCGGCTTCGGATTCCGATCGGGACGTAGATTTCTCAGTGGCCTCACCAGCCTGCCGATCTCTACCGCTTCGGCTCCTCCGGCCTTTGCTGCCGAGTTCTGCCGACCCGATTCCTTTCGATTGCCGATCCGAAATCGACTCGATTCTGAGCAAGCTTCGGTTGTGGAAGTCGATTAATGGAGAGGAAGCATGCTGCCAAATAATTTCCAGATGTCTGAAAGATGTTTCAAACACGTTTTGAATATGTAAAACATGTTGGACACATTTTTAGAACATGCTTTACACATTTTGTGCACATCTGTAATTCAATGATCGGATTGTTCGACTGTCCATTGTCATGGCATCCACACAGCTTCGGGAGCTCCCCTCCTCGATCTCGACCCGTGCGTCGAGGCTGCCGCACAGCCTCGGATTTCCTCGCGCGGGCGGCCGGCTCTTCACGAGAACCTGCTCTTCCAGCAAGGAGGCGCCTCTCGGACGAGGCAGCAGCTCTGTGTGGTTGCCTTCTCCATTTGTTTTTAGGAGACACGTTCTAATCCATGGCTCCCTGGAATCAGATTGCCTGGAGATAGGGTGAATTGGCGGGTAAAGCACCTTGTCTTCCGAGGTGTCCGGTGCGCTCTCAACTGTCCTTGAAAAGCGGAAGAAAAGACTTACGTATTCTCACCCCTGGTCGTACCCATAACCGCATCAGGTTTCCAAGGCCCTAGCGGAAATAGAGAGATTTGGCGAAAGTTTTCCGCCGATTTTGGTGGCAGGCTGGGTTCCCAGGTTCCTGGGTTCCCGGTCATTGGTTCCGGGCCGATTTCGGTGGATTCTGGGTTCCCGGGCTCCCGGGTTCCCTGTCGATCTCCCCAGCGAAAACCATCCACAGATTGGGGTGTCTCTCTGGTGTAATTTTGTTTCTTAGATTCGGGTCTTGGGCTTAGGGTGCATTAGCCCCACACGAAGCCTGTTGGACGTGTGCCCCGCCCACCCAAGACCCATGACATACAGAACTCAACGCGTCGACGACGATGATTCAGCGCGATGCGACGTGCGCAACGCTTCGATAGCCGATGCAGTGGCGGTGACGAAAAGGGCCCAGGCGACCGGCGGGTTGCTCTCCACCGCAGATCGCCGATGCCGTGGTGGCGATGCGCAGCGCAGCTTGGCACGTCGCTTGGGACTGAGCTTCGCGATGCCCGCCCCCACTGATGTGCCCTCCGGCCATGGCCCCAGACGCGAAGAGCTCTCGGCGACGACAGGGGTTGCCCACTGGAGTGGCAGCGCGGGCTCTGGCGCGCAGTGCCTAGGCAGCGCTTCGAAGGCCGATGAGGCGGTGGTGCGGCGTGGGCGTGCGAGGCGTCCCGCGAGCGGTGTGCCGCAGCGGGCTGCCGACGCCTTGGCGCTGCATCGACCAGCTCGGCGCGTCGCTTTGGGGCTGCGCTGCGCGATGTCCGCGCCGACTTTGGCTCGAGCGTCTTGGCGCCCGACCAGACCTCGACCGCCTGCGCGCCGATGCGCGGAACCCCAGGGGGCCATGTCCAGCCTCCACGTGGCGGGCCCTGGGGAAGGGCACGGGTACGGGTGCGGACGTCGCGCCCGTGGTTTTCCGCGAAGGACATGATCGCTTGTGCGCAGAGTCGCCCTGCGACTAGCGAAGAATCTCGCTGCGCGGTGTAATTCATCGAGATCCCAGACGCGGGAGCGCCTGGGGAAGCCTCAGGTCGCCCGGAGGCCTTCGGGAGCGCCTTGGGAGCGCCTGGGAGCGCGCGAGAGTTTGCTGAACCTTGCCCAGGAGTTCGGGAGCATCTGGGAGCTCTGGGAGCGCCTGGAACGCCTGGAACAGCCTGCGCATGCCTGGGGAGCGCCTCGAAGCGCTTGACAGCGCTCGGGAGCGCCTGGGAGTGCCAGGGAGCGCCTGGGACGCCTCGAGGCGCCCGGGGTGCGCCTGCGGGCGCTTGAGTGTCTTGGGCACCCTCCCTGGGAGCTCGGCTGATGCGCCAGGGAGCGCCTGGGGACGCTCGGGCG